AAAATCGGTTCTCTAACCGATTTTTAAAAATAATTAACTTGTTTTAGGAGGATCTATGAACAAAACCTGCAAATTAATAAAATACCAGACAATTCATATGTTTTCAATGGACCAAATTACATATAAATGACAAGAGTTGGTAAATGTCAATCATATATGTAATCAAAATGTTTTTAAAATACATGTAATGCATAAATGTGCCTACCAAGTCCCACATGCTCAGAGGGTCATTCACCGAGTGGATTACATGGAAGTGATAATCAAATTAGAAGCACCTACAGATTTAGCATATTTTCCTATTCATGCCTCATGCGTGCGTGTAAAAAGCAAGAAATGGTAACTAATTAAGTAACCTGGTGAGGGACGTAAATGGCGAAAAAGGAAGCTCACCACTAATGCCTTCCATACTGTTGACTTAAATAAGTGAAAAGTCAATCCTTCCTGGCACCCCACTGCCACGTTTCTCGCCTGAAGTAGTTGTGGATTAGCCTAATGCTCCACACGCAAGTCAGCAATATCACCACCCTAGACCTCAACCAGTTATACTCGCCCAAAGGGTGACTTGCATAGTAAAGAACAAGCATCACAGGTATCACTGTCCAATACGGGTCAATCATTTGCACCAACACCAAGAGCTACATGTCAATATATATATGAGTGAAGTGAAGGCAAGGGAAGAGGAAAGTAATGTACCTAGTGACTGGATTGGATTAGGCCGATGAGGTAGAAGAGGAAATTCACATTGAAGAAGAAAAAGACGTTGGCTAATAGTGTAACGCCCGATTTATATAATAATAAATATATTTTTCTTATATGATATGATAACAATTATATCATTAATAATATTTTTCATAAGGATAAAGAAAATTTTGTGAACTTATTACATGACATATCATTCTAAAAATATTTACAAATATGTACTATTTTACACATTTTTCATTTCTTCCATCTCTAGTACAATAATTACATTAATAGTGGAAATAAATTTACAATTTAACTAGTATGGTTGAGAGAAAGAAAAATATATGAATGTAATCATGTCTTCAAAACGTAACAGAGTTGGAAACAGCATCCACATCTCAATTCTATCCAAGGAAGACAACATTAATAACAACTGTAAAATGTCCTGGAATCGTAAGTAGGTCCATCTATTTTGTAATATATTTAATTTAAAAAAACAAAGAAAAGTGAGGAGTGAAAAAAATATCCAACAAATACAATAATTCAAAAGAATATACAGAATTATTTATAATCAATATTGAACACACACACACACACATATATATATATCATATGAAATTTGTTTCAGACCGAATAATTTTTTTTATCAGATATTGGATTTGGAACTAAAACTTTATACTGGACAATGGTATCTTGAAAAAACAATTGCTAACGAGTTTGTATCCCAACTTTACTATAAGAACAATTAATACAACCAGAGTCTTGAACAACAGTCAACAATGGAGTATGGACAACTAGACTATGTATAAAATAATATTTATCTTCATAAATACTTGAAGCAATAACAATAAGACGAATCCAAGATATTAAAACTATATTATAGTTGATTATAAAATATATTTACATTAAATAAATTTGAATAATATTTACATAAAAAGAATATATTAAGAGTCTCAATCATATAAATAAAAATGATAATCATTATAAAATAATTAAACAACATAAATTATGAACACCTTATTAATTATTATAAGTAAAAATGATCATAAGTTAAACAAATAAATGAGGTTAGTGACACCTCACTAAACAGATATAAATAAAAAATAACATAAATAAGTCAATAAAATAGTATTAAAATTTTAAAAGAGATAACATTTTCCTCTCCCTACCTCAGAACATCGACTTATCTGCGAAAAATCTTCAAGATCCTTTTCCTACTCATTTTTTCTCTCTTTCCCTCTTTCTCTCTCTCTCTCTCTCTTTCTCTTTCTCTCTCTAAGTTTTCACTTCAGACTGTTATAATTTTTCACAGCCCCTCCCTCCTATTTATAGAAGTCTGGAGTGGCTAGAACGACCCGTTCTGAATCTGGAACGGCCTGTTTTGGACCCATTTTGTGATGTGCAAAATTTATAACTAGAACGACCCATTCTAAAACCAGAAAGACCCGTTCTGGGGTTGATATTTACTCACCACGACCATAACTGGAACACCCCGTTCTCAACTATGGTCTTCAGACACTTTTAGTAGCTTGGAACGGTCCGTTCTGGGCTACCAAAAATAGGCCTCTTTACTAATTTGGAACGACCTGTTCTACTTTTTGGAATGGCCCGTTCTGAGCCTTCAAAATACCAAAATAATATTTTTATTATTTTTAATTATAAAATCCCTTTAATAATCCCCATAAATATTAAAAGTAAATAATAATCAATTATTAAAACCTCTAAAATGTTCTAAAAAACCTTTTTATTAATTAATAACTATAAGAAAATAATTCCCATAAATATAGAAATAATAATTAACTATTGTATAAAATTTGGAATGTTACAAATAGCAAAGGGTGGTGATAGCGCCACGTTCACAAAGTTGACCAAGAAGATGAGGCTGATTTGAATGAGAGGAAGAATAGGATGGAGGGCAGAGGGATCTGTAGCCGCACATCTATAAGTAGAACGATCGGTACTGCAAGCAGAACGACCCATACTGCAAGCAGAACAACCCATTCTACAACTAGAACGGACCGTTCTGGTTGCAGTACGGGCCGTTCCAGATTCAAAATTTATCTAGTACGGGCCATTCTAGATTAAAAATTTTGCAGAATAAAGCAACAAAGAAACTAGAGAGATGAGAAGAGAATGAGAATGTTACCTTGATATAGTAGTCTTGCAAAGAAAATGAGAATCTGAAGACTTTAGATGAAAGCGCGAGAGAGACTAAAGAAAGGAATGGAGGGAAAATATACCAAAATGATTTTTAAAATGGAGGGAAGGAATGGAGCGAGAGACACTAATTCTGTTGACATTTTTATTTAAGAACCGATTTTGTATGTAAGATACAAAATCGATTCTTAAATAGCCGATTTTAAAAGTAGCAATTCTTAAAATCAGCTATTTAAGAATCGATTTTGTATACTACATACAAAATCGGTTTTTAAATGACTGATTTTAAAAGTAGCATAGAGACCTTTTAAAATCGATTAAAAGTTAGCCGATTTAAAAACTAGTGTCATTATTTACAAAATTGTCATCGCGTTACTTTTAAAATCGGTTACTTTTTAACCGATTTTAAAACCCCAATTTTAAAAGTAATTTTTGTACTAGTGATTCTTTATTTTATATACTTTTCTATTTTTTTTTTATTATTTTCATAAAAATCTTTACATGTTACACTAATATAAGAAATTGAATGTCAATTTTTTTATTAATATTTTATCAATTCAATCATTAAATTATAATTTTATAAATTATAATAAAAATAATAATCAAATTATTGATATTTTATTATATTTTGAAATATATATATTATATTAGTTTTGATCTATTATTGAAAGAAATATCAATATTTTGGAGTAATATAAAATTATATATATATATATATATATATATATATATATATATAAAACAAAATTTTTTTAT